GAGCCCCGGCCGGGACATTGTGTTGTGTTCTTAGGCAAGACACTTAACTCTCACAGTGCCTCTCCTCACCCAGGTGTATAAATGGGTACCAGCAATTTAATGCTGGGGGTAACCCTACAATGGACTAGCATCCCATCCATGGGGGAGTAGAAATACTCCTAGTCGCTTCATGCAACAGAAACCGGAGTTAAGCACCGGCCTAATGGGCCACCAGGCTCGTAAACTCACTTTACTTTATAGTGGCCAATTTATAATTTCAACTTAGTTGATATGACCAAATTACCAAGTTACCCCCACTGATGCAGCACCAAGGTTTCTTTAGAAACTCTCACCCTCTATTTATGTTTGGGTGACTAGCTTTGTTTCATCGATAAGTTGTGAAATAACCCACCTCTGTTGTCAGGGCATTTTTCTTTCTTTCATTGCACAAAGTTATTTTCCATACTCTCCCTTCTTTAAGGACAGACACACACTCATCCAGTACACCATGTGTCCGCGTTGTACGGGTCAACCTTAACACTTCATCGTCATCAAGACCATCCAAGAATGAGCAAGTCAAGCCATTCTTTCCTCTCTTTCCTGGGGATTTCTTTTCTCCTTTCTTAGGAGAAGCTCCTCCCAGACTTTTGCGAGAAAGTCCAGAGAAAACAGTTTGTCCAATGACGCGACCATTGAGTGGCCCTGGTCTAAGCTTTTTGGCTTCTTGAGTAAACACTTCACATGGATCACTAAGCTGTGATCTTTTTCTTCCTCTTCCAAGTCCTCTTTGATATTTTTTAAGTTCTTGGGTCATATTTTTTACTTTCAAAATCTCATCAACCATTTCCTTGTTTTGAAGACTTCTAAGCTTGCTCTTATCAATATCAGTAACCTTTCTTAACTGTCGCATCTCTGGATGTTTAGACTCCAAATGAGTAACAAAAGCAGCATTTATTCCTGGCAAAAAAATTGTGTTTACATTTAAAAAATTATCAAATTTTTTCATGCCTTGGGTCCTTAGAGGTGAATTTTCAGGTGATAGAGGTATAATTCAAAACAGACTATTTTTATGCTGGAGGAAATAAATGTTCACACCTTCAAGGTCTAAGATAAATCTTTCTAAGTAGGTGCAAATTTTTCATTTATCTAACTTTAAGATTTTTTTTCCACAAATAGATTAGTTCTAGTTGAAAATTTCTATCATATTTATCATGTGTTTACTAAACTCTGTTTTTTGTGCCTAAATCCTAGAAAACAGATCAGGTTTCATTCTCCAGAGGTTCGATACAAACTCTTTAAATAAGCACACACAAACTCATCCATGAATGTCACCAATATTTGAAGAAAATGAACTAACAGGTCCTGCTACATGATCTGTAAAGGGACCACAAAACAACATGACCACATAATTAATCGTATTAATATTTACCCGGCATTGGGAATGCTTTGGCCATAAACTCTGTAACAGTATGAAGGCAAGGACTTAAATTCTCAATCGGTTCCCAAGTGCTGTAAAGGGAGTCGTAATTTTTCCAATGCACCAGAAACTCTTCTTTTCCAGATTTTGTTCGACGTCTTCCTATTACCTTGTCAACCTAAACAAGTAAGGCAAAGTGTACAAGAAATGAACACATCGTTCCCTTGTTTTATATGTACACTATTTCTTTAAGTAGCGGCATTTTAGCTATAACTGAATCAATCCGATGATATTCTTATATGTGATCCGGCAGGTTAAAACTTCAGTTCATAACCGGTAAAAGAAAATTGCACATGCTAAATTCATTCAGACCATGAGAAACAAAGAAAAACATTTCACGGTTTGTTATTAATTTCGGCAACTACAACAGGGAACATCGTTGTTGACACAATTTCACACGACCACCTGTATAAACGAAGTCCAAATGTGAAATCAAGAGTGTTTTAGCGCCGAATCATCCACGTGGAAGTTTTTCCCTTTCAAGCGAAACCTCGTTTACAACAAATAAATGAACTTGGAAGAATACAAAATACAAGGAAACAGGCGGCTTACTTTCCAGCAAGGATCTTTTCATACAAATCTATAGATATCAATGCCTATGTAACAAACGTCATTTTAAGATGGGTCGATATAGCTGACACGATAGATCGAAATTTAAAATGAGAACTTGCCACACTAACCTCGTAGGTGCCATCGGCCATGTTGCGCAGCCTCCGTTGAACTTGCGCGCCAAAAGTGGACGCACGCGCTTAAACTTTTGTTCGAAATAACGACCCAAGCGATTGGTTGCTTAATTTTGTAAGCGAAAGTTCCAAAAAATAATTCCTATTAAATTAATGCCCCCGATGATTTTCACTCTGCTAAAACATGCTTCACTTTTGTAAGCTAGGAGTATTTTGAAACAAAATGTTCTCGCTTTGGTTGCATTTCAGATTGGTCCAGATTGAACAACTTAACCAGTAATCGAGATTGATGTAGTTATAAACCACGTGACATATTTGACTGCTCCCGCCATTTTCCTAGCAATTATCTTCGAAACGTTCTTTCTGTTCGGGAAAATGCCTCATCTAGATCACAGCATCAGGTTGGATTTTAAAGATGTTTTGATCCGACCTAAACGAAGCACTATCCGAAGTAGAGCAGATGTAAGTTGCATTGGAAAAGGAAATTTTTCTTGCCCTTTAAAATTGGTGTGCCTTCTATCTACTCTGCGGGCTATGGAACCTTGCGTGAGAGTATTTGTGACAAAATGTGTGGTCGATCTGTTGTCCCGTGGGTTGGCATGCTTTTAAAATGTGCAACTTATCGAAAATAGTAGAGGGGTCACCAAAGACAAAGCCGGGGCAAATTTTTCTCACCTCTTTGCACGCGTACGGTTGGGTCTCGAGCCAGTGAGGACTGAACTGATGATGCATCTCGCAAATTTCGATCACATTTTCTTCGGTCAGTCTTGCAATTTTGCACGCAAGTTTCCTTAATTTCCCATAGAGGGTGGATGATGGTATCCAAATGATAAATTGTTATTTAGTGGATAAGTGTTGACAAGGTGCGAGATTTATCTTGTGGATAGCATTATCCACCTTCTGGAGCCAGACCCTGATTTCCATAGCCAACTCGATAGGAGATACTTATTAGGCAAATAAGGAAATCTTTCCATGGGGATGCAACATACAAAATGCAAGAGACATATTTGAAAATGGGAGATGTGACAGAAACAAGAAAAAATTATGCACTTA